TCTTTTGCAATTGTTTTACATCTAAGATTTTGACTTATGAAGTCATTTCAGGTGTAAGAAGAACATCTTAGTTACTTATCTTGTTTTCTAACTCTTAAAGTTATTTCTCAGTTTAATACTTGATACTTTAGTAGTTCTCGTTACTTTTCAATATTCATTACTTGATATTTCTCTAGTTCTCTTGCTTCTAAAGTTTTTCTTTTAATCTTCAAATTATTAGTTGATTTTTATTTATGGTTATGGATTATAGTTATGACTTCTACGATATATTGAGGAAAAAAAAATTGTTCCGATTAAAATATTAGTCCACTGATTGATCGCATATCCGTAAGTCTTAAGCAGTTTGGATTAGGATTTTAATTTTAGTATCGTAGTCCGCCGCGGACTAGTCTTCCAAAAACCGCAAAAAACCGTCGCAGTACGGCCTGGTAATCCGCTGATTAATCTGACTTGACAATACTATATACAGGTCCAATCATGAGCCCAAAAAAATCGATTTTGGACTTGCGACCCTCCATATTATAATAAGTATACTAAGTACAGATCATTTTACGTTTCAACAAATCATAATAAGTATAGTAAGTGATGCTTAGTTCCTTGTTGTTGTTGAGGTTTGTCCAGTTTGGATTTGCGTTGCTCTTAGGTGTTGCTCTCTTCTAGCTCGGTTGTGGTTGCTTAATTTATTCCTAGTGGTTGATGAGTTTTGTCTTTCTATTGCGTCCGGAGGATCTGTTTGAGTCCTTCGTTTGGCCCTCTTCTTTGTCTAGTTGCTCCCTCGACATGTTGGGATCACTAGACTCTTTACAGAATCTTGTTTGGGCAATTACTCTTGTTAGGTTGTTTCAACTTTCCCTTCTGCTTTGGATTCGGTGAAAGTTGTGTCAAGTTGAAGTATATGCCTTTTAGTAACATAACTTGTTGTATTTCCTCTATTAGCGCTCTTATGTAATATTTTTTCATGCTGTTATATTCCATATGCACCTGTTTTTCAATAGAAAACCCTTTATCCAAAAAGTTACAAAAAAAACAAATGCGACTCTCAATTATATATCAGTTATTTTGGTCTTTATGCTTGTGTAATGTTGTAAATTTCGTGATAGAAGTTTTTTGTTGTGGGCGGAGATGTCAAGAGTTCAATTCCAATGTGTTTTTTTATTATAAGAGCCGACTCTAGATCCACATATCATATCATGACTATGTCCGATCTAAAAGACAAATGGAGCCATCGTTTCGAGTCTTATATAGGGATGGACAAAATTATA